CTATCAGGAGCATCCCCATGAATTTGACCCACCCCCACATCTCGCTGCAATCTTCCAATCCTCCTCTCCATCTGTTTTTATTCCTTTGGGGTGGGTGTGGCTTTACACCTTTGTGGTTTTTAGTGTGTGCATATGGTGTTTATTTACTGATCATTTAGTCTGTTTCCTTTTTGACAGACATGCTTCTGCCTTTGTTTTTCCATGCTTTACTTGCTGCTGTCTGGTTGCTGGAGCGATTAGAGGAGGACAATATTCAACCAAATGACAATACCTACAGAATGCAAAGTGAAGAGCGTATGCGGTTTTCCCGACCCATGCTCAACCCTCTAACTGGCCCAGACTGGCCACCTGTTGGGCCTCTCATCTAGCCAGTTGGCTTACAACACAAACTTGGATGTTTCTTTGCGTTGCGGGCTTTCATCTTGGCAGATTAATCTTGACCCCGTTTGTTTTCGAGGGTCTTGCTGTTAGCTGATTAGTGTGAGGTCATTTGGGTCAGGAGAGTTCCTGTAGGACTGTGGAGAAAACTATAGTGTGAGGTTGTTTTTAAGGATCTGTACTCATTCAGCCAGAGACTCTATCCCTACTGAGCCGCTAATCACCACCCACCTTTGTTACGGCGGCTCATATCATGACTAATCAATGTTTTGTAAATGGGAATATGCAGTTCTCTGACCATTTCTTCACATGAACATGGTAGTGATTCTCTTGTTGTTTATTTCTTTTCAAAGTTCTTTGGAGTAGAACGCAGACTACTCACAAGTTACTCCGCTGAATGTTGGTTAGCTGGCCCCTTGCTTTATGTAGTTTGTGTTTGTCTTCATGTGCAGCTTTTACCAGAACACGAGGCAGCCTATTGATTTCTTTTTGTCTGTGCAAGTTGGCTTGGTTTGTCAGGACGAGGGCTGCGTGTCAAACCAGTGCTTTTCAAGTGTGTTTATAGCGTCTCGAGTAAAGCTGCAATGATTCATTGATTAGCTGAGAGACAGAAAAAATTAATTGGCAACTGTTTTGATCGTCAAGTAATTGTAAGCCAAACATTACACTGTCCCAGCTGCTCAAATGTGAGAATTTGCTGCATTTTTGTGGCACATGATAGTAAACTAAATCTCTTTGGAGTGTTGGACAGACCAAAGCAGGCATCAGTCGATTGAGAAAATAATCTGCAAATTAATTCAGAATGAAAATAATCATTAGACTTGGGTATCAAAAGGTGGCACTGGCTCTGTAGATAATCAGATATTTACTTTTAAGAGTTTTTTTTTTGCTATTTTAGATGTCTCTTCTTTCTAACATTTATTCTTTCGGAACTGTGGCTTCTTCTTTTAACTGTTTGGGTAGAAAACACATGTTTAAATTATTTAAGTTGGACATCAAACCAAGTATCTGTTCCAAAACATGAGGCATTGTGTCAGCTATGATACAATGCTGTGCAGTGTTGAAAATAAAACCAAACCTAATAGGGACCAGAAAAAAAAAAAAAATCTTTTTAGGATGTTCAAATCATCATTGGGTTCAAAGTTTAATTAGTCCAGCAAACAATTATTTTTATCACTGATTAATCTGCAAGTAATTTTCCCAGTCATCAAATACGTATTTGGTACTGCTGAACCCGAAAAGTTGCTGAGTTGAATCCTCAGTGGACAGAACCCTGATTGGACCCTTTTTTTCCCCCTTCAGTCATCTGAATTCATTTTTTCCATCACTTTGCAGTCTTGCAGGCAAGGATAGGCTGGAGCAAGTAAACATTGAATTAATTATAAAAATATTTGGAGACTAATTTTCTGGTCATTTAAGTAATTGTTTGAGCATTAAAATGATTTAAAGAAGGTACTCATCAGTTTCTGGGCAACCTGGAGGCAAAACACTACAACAAGAATGAAGAATGTCAGAATCAAACTTGCATATTTTCATCCCATGTTGTGTGGAATGTGTTTGCAACCGTTATATTACCACACATATAGAACAACAGTACACTTCATTATGTTCGCTCAAGTTCACGCTCTGTTAGCTCTAATTTAGTCTCTACCACCCCTGAAGAAAAATATATAACTCAAGATGTGCAAAGGGTGTGAAAGCTTAAATATAAATTTGCCGGTGCTCCCAGCTTGATATAAGCTACCGTGTTTTTCCTTCTCTACACAGCATATGTTGACACTTGCCGCGGAAATGCCTGGCATTAATTAGACAAGTGATGCCGAGATGAATAGTTTCATTAGAAAGAGGAGGGATTAACAGTAAATCAGTGAGCAGAAGGAGCTCATATTTTTACTTACAAGCCTCACTAAAGAATTTCTTATTTCCAGTCTTGTCTTTTGTTTTATGGCCAGGCCTGTCGTCTAGCCTGGCCTCATTACAAAGCAGTCTGTGTAGAAAGGGCAAATACATAGTGACTGGCATTGTTCTGTGATTGGCATCCCAGCTTAAACCAAAGGCCATGTTAATAAACGACACGGCCCTGTCTCTCTTTGGAAGCTTCTGTGACCACTGGTGAATTTTTGGTTACAGGTCAGTGGCTGCATTGTGCATGTCCACTTCTCAGACGCTCCTTCAGATAATCGTAACCTTTTCAACCTGAACTGCTGAACCCCAGCCAAGACGCTGGCCTGACTTCTCCTTCACATTTACCGGTTTTATCCTGTGTCCTCATGTTTTGTCATTTTGTGGCTGTTTTTCCTGAGAAGTTGTTGACCAAAGCTGCATCTTGTATCAAGACCAATTGAGTCTTCCAGCCCAAATAATAAGCTGTGTAAAACAATCCAGTTGTGCTTTTTCATGTTTATTTAATAAAGGTGTTATTTAGGACTGCAACTGATTTTATTTTAGGTTTATTTGGTCCTTAGTATATTACAAAATAATGAAACTGTCCCCCCATTTGCCAGAATTGGGCTTTACTTGTCTTGTTTTGTCCAGTTAGCAATCTGAAGGGATTCACTTTGCAGTGACAGCAAATTGTCACACTGGAGAAACTGGAAGCAAAGTTTTTCCTGTTTATCAAAGTTTGTACTTAACTAGTCAAATACCTGTAAATCTAGCAAATGACTTGCGCCATAAAATCTGGTATAAACATCCACGTTCCCGTCATCTTTTTTTTGTAAGTTTCCATTCGAAGGTCAGTGCTTTGGTTTATGACCAAGTACCTGCAACTGTTGTGATTTTCTATCAGCTTTACTTGACGTTTTTTTGCTAATACGTAGAAGTCAGTATCCTAAAATGCTACATAAACATGATGAACATCATCTTCTGAACACCAACATCTTGCCACTTGAAAGATTTTGTCAGTTGCCTTTAGCTCAAAACACAGAGTTACAAATAGAGCTGCAGACTCTTTTCCCTTTAAAATGTCATATCTCAATATTTAGAGCAGATCAGGCCCTATTGTGAAGTGTTTTTTCAATGTAGCTACAATGAAAATATATCCACATGACATCACGTCTACCCCGTAATTCATGCAAGTAATAAAAATATACGAACACATGTACAGAGTTTATGTGCATGAGTGTATTTTTTTTTTTTTCCTGCTCCGGCTGGTCCTGCTCATCTCCTTCCCCACCTTGGTTTATGTAAAGGTGCCTTGCTGAATGGGCTCTTTTAGGTGGGTGTAATTGAACCTGACCCACTTGCACAATTAACTCTAACCCATAATATTTGCTCAGTGGTATTGGGTTTTGGATGGCTTGGCCCCAGCGGTGAGGTCGACCTCAGCGTAGTCAGCTGAGCCATCAATCACTTGCAGCTCGCTGAAGGGGCGTCACTCCGAAATGAAACGGGGGAGCACAGTAATGACTAGACTGATGCCAAACGCTGGGCGGTACTGAGGATGACTCAAGGAGTTCCCGATGTTCTTCATCACTGGATCGTCTTGCTGTCAGCTGTTTCCTTTGGCAGCCATGGTGCTTTGTAGTTTTCTCTTTTTTCTCGGGTTACACTGATTTGTAAAAACTTCTCTGCGACTGCGAATACTACTACTTAAAGACTTTCTCTCAGGTTTTCAACCATATCTCACAGTGACCTGCTGTTGATAGAATTATCGGGGTTGTTTTCTTAGCATGGACAAAGCCGCGACAGAAGACACTCTACAGATTTTTTTTTTACATCCTTAATAGCACTACTTATAACAAGTAAAAGGAACAAAAAATCAGAGGAGCAGCCTTTGATACAGTGCAACTGTTTTGTCCTTAAAAGACAGCCTCAAATTGGGCATCTCAAACTAAGCTGTGACCTGTTGATTACCCTCCATTAATGCAGTCAATAGTAAAAATAAATAGCCACCGCCACATTCAGTGTGTTGTTATACTGTTCAAGAGGAAAAAGGAAATTGATTTGAAAGTTTGCAATGAAATAACTTTTTCTCAAAAGCTCTAAAATGCTAAAAGCTTCTTTTATCCTTTCTTCCAGTAAACACACTCAGGTTTCCGCGTACATGAACTTAATTGGTACTTTTTCTGCGGCGTCCACAGGGATTGAGTCCGACAAACACACACCTCCAGGGAGGAACACCTGAGCTCTGGCAGAGTTTGTTTGTCTTTCACGGCCCATGGGGGTAAGGCGGGGAAGCCTTGACCTTGTCATCAGCTTTAAAGCCTCTGGTTCTAATTTAAGCCACAGCTTTTTTGTATTGATACATCAGAGCGGGCCATGGAAATGGAAGTTAATGAGATCTCATGAGAACAGAGCTGCAAGTTTAGTGGCTGAGCACAATAAGTGAGACAGTGCATGAAGCAACAGTCCCATGCTTTACTACACTCTGTCATCTGATTTTCTTCAATGATGAGATAAAAATGGTATTGGTTCGAACGCTTGGTGTTCATCACCTGTCCCCCAGTAACTACAATAACCGACACCTAGACTGTTGCAATGTGCTCAGCAATGACTGGGTGGGGACAAGGTTGTATATTATGGAACTAAATGAATTTTAAACCTGGCTTTCTGAGTTGGTAGCCACCTTGTGTTGAAGGTTGATGATCTCTCTTAAATCACAAATTTCTCTCTCATTTCAGTGTGCAAGGATCCACCGTACAAAGTGGAGGAGTCTGGATACGCAGGCTTCATCTTGCCCATTGAAGTTTACTTCAAAAACAAGGTACACTTAACAAATTCAGTCACTGGTATTCTGTATGTTTTACATCCTAAACCTCAGATTTTATTTCAAGGTTATTTACATTTTAATTTTGCGAATTCCATCTGTTGTCTTTTTGTGGTCTGAAGGTAATTGATTACAGTCCTTTTTGTAGTATAAGCTAACATTTTTGATACAGGATGTTTCTAAACTGTTTTTGGAAGTATTTATGAAATTAAAATATGTGGAACTACATCCACTCATATTTCTATAAGTTTTGCTCCTGTACAACATTAACTAAGTGATATATGTGTTTTCAAACCACACAACCTGTAGTTCTAACTTCTTCTGACTTGAAATGATGACTGGAATCACTCATTTCACTGAATTCAAAACTAGCATATTAGCAGACTTTCCACATGCATCATTTCCTAGATACACATATTCTTTGTAGTTTGAAGAAAACTGACGCAATGGAAACTTGCTATGTGTCTTTAATAGTTGTTTCTTTTCATAATAAGGAAAACCGTGCTCACCACAGTAAAAGTTAGGATTAAATTCACCCTCTGTCACTGCCCACATTCTAACCTTTGAGGCTAGTGTTGGTTATAGATGTTAAAACTGATAATGACAATCTGACCTCCAGTTCTCGCTAAAGAATAAACAAACTGTGCTGAATAGATCTTCCCAACCATTGTCTTACCCAGACTTCTTTAGCCTTCTGCCTTCCTTATTAGTAGTCGTGTTTTAACAAGATGTTGCACTACAGTCTCCATTTTGTTACCACCTGCTTCCCCATGAGATCACCTGAGGTGGTTCACTGCTCCCTGATTGCGCCCTCTGGCGTGATCATTTTTAAAAATATCCTGTATTATTCGAAGCACCATTATTTTCTGAACTTGTAGTATGTACATATAGAGAGATTATAGAGCATATCTGTAACATTTCTCCTTATGTGTGATGCAACCTGATTTCAATGAATATTTGGATTGTAAAACTTGTGTAGTGGGAGCCCAGCTTAGGTAGAACTAATTTTAGTGGTCTAGATGGAATAATTTACCATGGATGGGCCAAACCACAATATTCTGTGAGGTGATATTCATTTGTCAGTCGTCAGAGATGTACTTTGTATTTTAATGTAGTTCTTACCATTGAAGCTGTCTCTTCATGGAATAGATTCTTAGAAAAATCTATTTCACTAAAATTTACATAATATAAAAGGGATTTTGAAATCACTAGACTCAAGGCTCTGTGTTACAAACCCCTACAATTGCTTTTCTTTTGATGATTTCTTTTCTTCAACACAAAGAGAGAGAGGGAGACCAAATGATAGAAAATCAAAGTGAACTTGAATATAATTTTCTGCATTTAATCTGCATTTGCCTTTCTTCTCTTTAAAAAAAACATCTGTCCAACTTTCTGCCCAGGTTGCAGAATTTACTGACGATATAAAACTATTCTAAAGCTCGAGACTTGCATCTTAAAAAAAAAAAAACAAAAGAAGTGTAAATTAGTCTGCAAAGTTGTAGGGGAAAAAAGTATACAGTGTTAATGAAGTTTGGAACACAACTAGCAAACTTGTATTAAATTTTGTATTCGATTTTCCAGTGTACAGATTGGAGAGATTGTGAACCGTTACAATTATTTTGGCTTGAAAGTGTCAGTAAAGCAATTGTTCAGTTGTGTCGTTATTTATGTTGGAAATCGATATCCAAGTGGGGTCTATTGAAAAGACAGTGTTGTACCTGGGGTCTGTATGACATCCAGAACAATGCTGCTGTATAGGTGTTGACGTTGACAAAGTGCTGCTAAACTAAGTTTCATTGTCCTCCTTTTTCCTGTCTGTGTGGCTCACAACTTTTCCTCAGGAAGAACCGAAGAAAGTTCGCTTCGATTACGACTTGTTCCTCCACCTGGAGGGTCACCCGCCTGTCAATCATCTCCGCTGTGAAAAGCTCACCTTCAACAACCCGACAGAGGAGTTTCGTAGGAAGCTACTGAAAGCCGGAGGGGTAGGAGTGTGATGGAGAGACTAGAAATAACATTTATCTTGTTGTTGATGGGAATTCACAGCTTCATTTTATTTATCTATAACAGTTACTGTCAGAAATTCTAGAGTATGTTTCAGGTGGGACTTTTGCCATCTGTTGCTGTCTGTCAGCTAAAAACAAAACATAAAGTCCCCTCTTTGTTTTGTCCAGTGACAATTCCAGTAAAGTTGATTCGAACAATATGGCTGTATCCTCTGTGTTCTTACACTGACATTTCAGTGATGAATAGTTTTATGGTTAATTTAATGTAATCAGAAATTTGTTGCACTTGGGTTAATGCACTTTTTAAAAATTCATTTTGTACTTTACATTAGAGTAAATGTGTCTTAGCATCAAGTATAACTGACATTTATCTTATTGATTGATTGATTTAAAAAAAAATAAATAAATAACAGCATCATCAGTACAGTATTATTATTTTTATTTTTTTTACTTTTTCTCTGTTCCATTACATTGCTTATACATGTTCATACAGTGTCACACACTTCGATACTGGTCAGTAGATCTAAAACAGGCACTGAGACAAGCCACCTCTACAGTATTTTGTTCTTTTATTAATCGTCAACAGACTGCCAAAACCAATAGTGTGTTTGTTTTTCCTCACTTTCACAAGACCGGCTTAGGTCTGTGACTTTCAGCTCCAAAGCTCATTGGTTCCTATGAAAATCACTATCTTTAAAAACCAAACAAAGGCAACCCCTGAAAGCCAGTATAGTTTTTCTAAATGTAACTTAAACAGGAGGAAATACTGCATTTGTTGAGGACAGTTTCTAGTGGCAGATTTTGGAAACCTTTGAATGTGGGTGGTCAGGCGACTATCAAACAAACATGAAAAATGTGGTTTTGCCATATGAAACAGCTCATCTGCACTTTCTTCTTAATGTTTATTAGATTTTATTTCATGGATGTGTTTACATGTTTTTGGAATTCCAAATAGTCTAATGACTAATGTAGATATGGTAAAGGAACAGTCTTTTTTCTATGTCAGGAGTGTAAAAAACACTCCTCTTAGGCATACCAGCTGTTGCTCTTAAGAAAAGTGTGACTGCATACCAAATGTTGCTCTGTTACAGTATACCTAACCACTCCTGTTGTCAGTTCTCTGAACAAGCTGCCTTGTTGTTGGACCAGTGTTATCTCAGCTTTTTGAACATTTTATCATCTGAAAACTCTTTTGAAATATACAGTTTGTCTCAACAGACAGATGCCAGTGACTCTATTTCTTTTATATTAGGCTTCTACAATGCAGAAGCAGTAACTATAAATTAAGCAGCACTTAAATCAGCTGATGCTGTCATTAAAGCTCTCTGTAGTTGTTACAGTCGTGATATACTGGCATCAGTTTACCTTTCCTTAGTGTCGGGTGCAATCAGTCAGTTGGCCCCAGTCCAGAGGACCCCTGTAGTCTGGAGGTTTTATGACTGGAGCTAAGTGCTCTGTATTTACTTTGCCCTGCACCCCATTCTTAGCCTCAGAAAGAGCTCAAGTGCTGACATAGGACATGTTGAAACTCACATTTGCTCTTGTGCGCAAGCGAATCCTATCACTGGAAGGTCTACAGTCAGAGTAGATAACACCGTACAAGTTGTAATTAAACTTTTCTTCAGATGCAGATAATAATAAAGTGGAGTTTGCCTGGGCTAGACGTATTTGTAACAGCTTTGTACAAATAAGCTATAGATCCTAATTATGTTTCTTTTGTCCTTGACAGCAACGGGATCCTCACAAGCGAAGTTCAGAAGACTCAAAAGTAAGATTTGCAACAGCTTTTGGAGTCATGAATCAAGAGGTTTTCCTAAAGATGACATAAAATTTGGATACGCCTGTAAAGTGACTTCCAACATAGACAGACGGCTGTGTTGTCTTTACTTGCATATTCTAGACTTTGTTTTAGCCCTGTAGAAGATATTCCAGCAATAACAGACAGCTTTAAATGTTTGAATGTGGCCCGGGTGGACTTTTGCTGATTTTGGCTGTGATGATAGCAGTGTACTAATTCATTGCTTTGAAGTCTTCCTTACGTAGAACAAAAGCCTCCTCTTAGATCATTCTGGACCACTTCAGGCAACCAAGTGTTGCTTTTTCAACAGCTCTAGATAATAAACATTTAGTTAATTCTTTTTGGATATACACTGTTTCACTTTCTCTCCAAGAGTGAGATGAGACGATCGATATTAGTTGTGTGTGTGTGTGTATGTCTACGTCAAGATGTGGTTAGCCTAGCTTAGCATTATGACTGGAAGCAACCAGGCACCGTGTTTTATATTTCTGTTTGAGAACAGAAAAGGCAATACAAAGGCATTGCATGTTAAGGCTAGCTTTTTTACCTCTGCTACCAGTCATTATGCTAAGCTAGGCTTAACCACATCCTTACTGTAGCACCATACTTAATTACTTGAAGACATGAAATGAGTCAAAAGAGTCCAATCAGTCATCTTTTTTGGCTTAAAAAATGGTCTAAATGTTTCTTGCCAAAACAATGAATCAGCAAAAAGCTTTCATGCAACTGTCCGTGATACACAAGATAAAGCTATGACTATGTTCAAAGTCTGTACTGACAGACAATCAATGGATTTTCCTATAACATGCGCCACTAGACAGCGATGCCCATTGTTGTCTTTACGAATGTATTTTTGATGAGCGTTCAGGCTAAATACCAAAACCACAAAATGACTTATATGCAGATAATGTGATGCTTTTCATACATAGGCATTTGCTACACTTGTGCTCAATTTTCATTTAAAATATTTAATTAAATATTAAAAATTACCGTCACCTCTTGTAAGCGTAATCAAAATTGTTATTCAAGTAATTGTTTTGTCAGACATAAGTTGGCACCTCGCCAGGTATTCAGCCTCCTTTTTTATGATACTTTGTTCACATTTAAGTCAGCAATCATAAAATACTGAGTTTTGATTCCCAGCCTTATCTTGAATTTTACTATGTGGAACTGAACAGAGTTAATGTTGTATATAAAGCAAAGAAACCTCTGATCACGACTTGTGGCTTTTTCCCTGCCAGGTAATGGTAATGCAGGAGGGCTCAACCTCCCTGTTCGGCCAGCACCTCAAGCTGCCTACGCTTCCCAACAGCTCGCTCACGTCCTCCTTCTCCGACCCAAAGAAGAGCAAAAACTTCCATGGATCAAAGGTCAGTGTTGTTTCCAGATACAGCCCAGAGCTAAAGGGCCTTTTTTTTTTTTCCTCTCGGCCACACCCAGCCCTGAAACTTTTTAGCCCTTCACAGTCTCCAGGTCTTAATCCCTCACATATTTGGCAGGTTCAAAAATGTCCAATATGTTTAAACTCCCAGGATTTCAAAGTCATCCAACTTTGGCTTAAGCAAACCATATCTTGGCTTCTTCACAGACATAAGCACTTACTCCACTGACTCAGAGATGTGCTGCATTCTTATTTAATGTCCTTTTACATTCTCATATCGACATTTTATGCAATAGCCTTCTACAATTTTTATTATGTTTTTTTAAAGGTGGGAGGAAAAGAAGGTAGCAGCTGCATGTGAGGTTTAAAACATTATCTCGGGAAACACAAAATGTAAAATGTGTGTCAATAAACTGGCATGTTGTTTCCATTATGTGTTATTTTTAGTCTCCTTAAATGGTGTCATTTAAGAGCCACGTTAGGAGAGGCCCATTTCACATGGAAACGGTTTCCAGTCTAAACACAGTGTGTGTGATGAATTACTCGTGGAGCAGGAGGTCACACACACACACTCTCCACTCCTCTCTCCAGCCCTCTTTCTCCCCATCACATGTTGAGAATTATTGCTCAGGTATTAGAACATATTTTTGTGTTTTCTTTGTTGATGTTTAGCATAAAGGACAATGCACAACTATACACTAATGTCATTAAAGTCTAGCAAATGTGCAGCTGCAAAACACTATTATTTAGATGCATGAATAAGCAAATAATTATTGAAAAATATATGTAGAAATGCATGTAAATGTATGACGTTGTGATTTATGCATGTCATGCAAAGTCTATGTCATGGTGTAAATGTTTAGTATAAAATCCAATATAGGTGATAAGGGTTAAATATAATCTGTTCTTAAAGTCCAAAGAAACCTTTATCTACACATTTGAGATGTCTTTTGTCTCTTGCTACATACAGTAATGTTAGTTCAGATTTTTTTTCTGTGTATTACTGGTTCTGTCATGTCATACCTAAAGTACATGTGGGATTGTTGAGACAGCGGATTGTGCTGCAGGGGATGGTACAGTCCTTGTAGAGTTTAGGTCAGCAGCATCAGACCTGTAGAAAACACCGCCATGATGAACTGATGAGTTGTGTAGTCGTGACAAAGTTCAACAAAAACGTACATGAGCTTTAATAAATTGATATTTGAATGCTTTATTCGCCATTGTATTCCACTCGTCTATGTCACATCAGTATAGTTAATGTCTTTAGGAATTACTAAGTACAGCTGGAAAGTACGAAAAAATTGTGACACACATTCAAAGCCGTATTTTTGCTGGTTTTCCAAAATACTTTAATACTTTAGTTTGTATGATCATGACACATGTATTAAGTGTCATTCTATGTTTAATTGAAAAGGTCTTAAAAAGTTTTCATTTCTGCCTATTTAACCCTAAAGAAACTGCAAATATAATACAGTGTAAAGAAGACACTGTGGCTCCTAGTAGTCATCATATTAAGATATATTTTAATAATAAGTATTAGTACTAGTATACCGTCAGGCCATTTAAGTGGATAGCTGGGTTGTCTGTATATATACAGTGTGTGACATATTATTGTAATTGACCCCACAGACATTTACATGAGCTTGGGTCACCTGCTAACCTGCCAATGTCACAGCGTTGAAAGGTTTGTTGAAAGTGCCACTTTAGTGATCTCTTCAATGTTGACGGCCTCGAGGCGCTGTGTGTCTCTTCCAGGGCACTAAAGCAGTTTTTTATGTCGGGCTGCCCTGGGAGGGAAATGGGTTTACTGCAGCGGAGGAGCATGCTGAAGTTTAGAATGAGCCAGCAGCTTTACATCCTGAGGCCCCTGGGGTCACCGGCAGATAGACGAAATGAAAGGTTTTAGAGGTGGTTGGGCAGAGTTGTAACACACCCCGTCGTCTAGACTTCTTTAATGGGTTTACTGCATTAGTGAAATATTGACAAGGGGGCTGGAGGTGAGACCCAGGGACAAATGGCCCCTGTCGTTAGAACGAATGCATTTCCTCTTTTCTCCACATTGCCCTTCGCTCCACTTCTAAGGTTGTCCGTGTGAGGCTGTTGAAAAGGCCCCCTTCACCCCACTGAACAGCACTGCTCAAAAGAAGCCCTGAGTTTGCTCTTTAAGCCCATAGTTGGAGACTAAGAAGACCCTTTTGATTTTCCTTTAAGAATGGACTTCTTTTCATAGATGGTAATGCCAAACTGCAGGGTGGCATGCATGTTTTCTCTTGTGTAAAAGGCAGAGGATTAATCTTTCGTTGACCTAGCTGCCTAGTTTTTGCTCACTTTGTTGTTTAGGACGACGCATTTTAGAAGTTCTACATGCAGGCTAAAGTCCAGTCAACACAACATAATCACCAGAGAACCTTTTTTTGCTGCAAAGAACGGTTGAACACTAGAAAAGATGAAATTCAAGTAAAAACATTTCCCTGTTTTTATATTCGTGAAATTTTTCCAGCAGTGAATTAGTTGTGTCACAGCATTAGAAGTCCATCCAGTCATCAGCCAACAGTATTTTGCAGTGGCTTACTATGTCTTTGCCTCATTATGTTTGCCCACTGACCTAAAGTGGGATTTCCCTCTTCCTTGTGACCTAATCCTTTGAGCTGAAGTTTTTCCTTTTTTTAGCTTCAATGATTCTCTGTAATTTTCCTCTAATTTCTGTGCATGACTTAATGTGCTGTCATAGTTCATACACAATCCTTTAAACTGTCGGTAATCACAAAATTCAAAAGTTTCTTGCATATTGTTCAAAGTCCTTGGTTCTGTGTATTCACTGTATATGATCTTATTAATTTATTGATTTTAATCCATAGGATGGCTCAAAAGGAAGCGGGACTACCCTCCTCACCACCGCCACAACCACCAGCACCAACAGCAGCAGCTTCTCCAAACTCCACAAACCCTCCAAGGACCACAAAGACAAGCCTCCAAAAGACTTGAAAGAGCCCAAAAGTGCCTTCAGAGACTCTGGCTGGGAACCCAGCAAAGCCCCCAAAGAACCTTCCAGGAAACCCAAAGAGAACCAGCCACTTAGAGATATCAATCCTAAGATGGGCTTCAAGGAACCCAAGTCTTTGTCCAAGGAGCATCGGACTGAGGGAATGACTCATGGGTCAGGGCTAAACAAGCGTCTGTCCGCACCTGACAGTGACGATCATATGACCAAAAAACGCAAAAAGGGATTTGTGGATTCATCAGGAAAGCAGACTTCTGGGTTAGACACTCAACATTTGGATAAGAAACTCTTGAAGGATAGATTGCAGATGCGGACGAGTAAGTTACGACCAGATGGTGACGAGGCAGAGCGCAGGAAGGTGTCGACACTTCCACCATTCCAGGAACAGGTGGATCCCAATGACTCTGATATGGAGGACCAGTCAACCAAATCAGATGTAAGTAAAACATTTTTTTTAATTCTGGGGCATTGTATTAAAAATAAAACTGATTTCATTGATGATACAGTTATGCAGCCCACGTGCCTTTATCGTCATAGAAGTTTAATTCGTAGCCATTTGGACCTTTCACTAATCTAGTTTGTTGGACAAACTGAAGTTTACTAGGAAAATGTTGATGGCTGGTGGAAAGGTATCCAATTCTTTAGAGACTTTAAGGGGGGAGGATTTGTTGGTGGTCAGTTCTTCCTTGGTGTGGAAGGACTATAAAATCAAAGAACCAGCAGGGAGAGAATCTTCTTTAATGGTGGTCTGGTAGGCTCTAGGGGGCTGGGTGGGGGAATTGGAAGAAGGGGTGGACGCCAATAAACCTAGTGGGAGTTCAGCTGCATTCGTCTGGGTGGCCAAACAGGAAATGGGCAAAAACTGAAGTAAGATTTACCTAATGACAGCAAATCCCGGATTATATGCACTTCAAATATGTCTATGTAGGAAATATTAGAATGTGGACGTAGATTGTGCTTCCTTCCAAACAGAGTATCCCTCCAGCTCAAGAGCAGGATTCAAAAACCTCATCTACAGTGGCTCTTTTCATGAATAGGCTGACATTTGACTGGGTTGCCTGGTCCACGCACATTTGGTGGAGAACCTCCCCATAAAGAAGGGCTGTTTTAAAGCCAAATAGTATACAAGAAAGATTTATGGTTTTACAACACCTGAGGAGAAAGGGGAGACGCGGCGGTGAATAGCATAGAGTTCCCCTTTAATCCTTTTAGCTTTTGAAAGAAGAAAAAGGCTGAGCGTTTGTGGAAGAAAGGTCTAAATCCCTGTGCTTTGAGCAGTTTTCTTTTATGCAATGGTGTTTTCATTTCTATTCTCAAATGCTTGTATAAAGCGTGGGTCTTTTATGTATCTTTCTCTGTAGGGGCAGCTTGTTTAGGCAGGGGAGTTATTACTTAGCACTAGCAGAACCTGTGTTATTTTCAGTGCTGTATGGAAATGCCTTTTAAGTTTTCCCATACAGGGACTTGGGGTGGTGGGGGTGGGGGACTTGGTTGTAAAGGGGATGTGGGGTGACAAATGCCAGGTGTTTGATTCTCCCCAGGCTAGCAACCCCGGTGGCCGAGCGTCGGGCCGACACAGAGCGCCGCTCTCATTTCTCATGTGACCACTTGTTTGATCTCGGTGTTTTCCACAGAGCGCTGGGCCAGAAACGGCCGAGAGGAGGAAATGTGGAGTAGGTGATGACATGAAGGGAAAGCAGGCTGGCGTGTTAGCATGAGAACCTTGTTTTTATCACGCTGGATGTGGGCACTGGCTGAGTGATTTGTCACCTGCAGAAGTTTCTTTAAACCTAAGCCCTCATGTAGTGGAGTCATTACAGAGGCATCGTGGACTTTTTTCCTCAGGTTTTTGTTGTCAACACGATAGCTACAGTGAAACCCTTTTTTTTTGGTGGAATAACAACAAAAAAAACTTCTAATTTTTGCAAAAGCACAGGTTCTGAGTCAGGAGCATCTGTTCAATAGTTAAAATGGAAAAAGTCTGTCTCCCTTATAATAAAATAAATAACCAGAATGTGACATAATGAGAATTAATGATGGATAAGTACTGTTGGCAACATGTGCAAACATTTTTGATCATGGACCAAATTCAGATTGTTCAAATGATAACATATGCCATTGAGAAACAACAATCGACATGAATTATGTGCCTCTCTGAGTGGTCCATTTACTGCAAACACGCACTTCGCACTGCACATGCATCATTGTTCGTGTTAAAGTGAAACAATAGACTTTTTAAAATGAAATGTCACTTTGAATGGATGATGCAAACCTCAGAAATAATTTGAGCTGTAACGTAAACATTGAGAGTTAAAAAAATAAAATCACCAAACTATGAGATCGACTTAAAGAATCTGTGAATCATTTGGGTTTTTTTATATTTAATTGAGAATCTGAAAAGTGAAACGTCGTGTTAAAAGTCTCCCCTTGTGTGGATAAACATACACTTTTACAAGAAACAGTCAACTTCACTTTGCCACAGATGCATGCAATTTAGTCATAAATAAAGGGATGTAATTACAACTTTCTGATGTGCACTTGCATTCCTGATACTGACACCGAGATAGTTTTCTCATTACAAACTAATGTGCTAATGACTAATGGGAAAGGAACTGGAAAGCTTGCCAGACAATCCTGCAGTTTTTAAGATTAACTGTCAAACTGCAGTAAGCGTGAAAAGGAGCTCATAAGTTTATAGTACATCCGAACTGCAAGCAGCAACATTTCAGTATAAATGAGGAGACTTTGCTTGAATTAATCTGGAGTGTCAAACTGTCTTTATTGACATTAAAATAGTTCTGTTTGTACAGCCCCTGCTGAATTAGACAAGCAAACCAAATAGACTAAGCTTGCTGGCATTTCTTTTCGGCCTTCCAAACTGTGCCAAGAGTTGAGACCAGAAGCCAGATTGATGCCAGCAAACTCTGACTAAAGACTATTTATTGTCTTTGAAGAGAGCTGCTTTGGTGGCTTGGAGTAAAGCAGGACAAAAGCCCTAAAAAGGAGTGGTGGTAAGATTTATGGCACTCTGAAGAAGCTGTCCCATAAACCAACAGACCAGCTGTGGGTTGTTTGTTGGCAGGAGGTGACAACCATTGAAGCCTTTTGTCCTCACTTCTCTCTCTTTCTCTCATGTTTCTTCTGGAGGTCGCTTCTCACCACTTTGTCTTCTTGAGCAGCTGTGGTTTGCAGTGGCAGACTCCCTTATGAATTTGTGTTTGCATACTGAGATCCAAGTCCATTTGAAATTCCCTTAAGACTGACACAGTGACGCATTTTAAGTCCACATCTACAGTTTATCTGAGTGACTCACGCACACATCATCCAACCTGGCTGCACAAGCGTCTCCCAGCTGTGGTTAGATGCTGCTTCGCAAAAGAAAATAAGTATGAATTGTGAGAAAATGTAAATTTGAAACTGTGGGACAACACATCTTCTATAATCCTGAGACTCTTAATCCAGAACTTTTAAGAACTTGAAAAAATATTTTCAAGAAGTTCTTTGCAGATTTTAAACTTAATTAAATGGAAACAGATACTCTGCTATACTTTATTACAAGGGTTGCCACTAATACCTCCTTATCTATTGATTAATTTACTAATTTTACAGAAAAGTTGATTCATTTCAACATTTGATTTTCCTTCAAAGAGCAAAATGACAGTTCTATTTAAGTTAATTTTGCTGTGACAAAATATATCTTTTTCGATATGTTTGCTAAGTGGCACATGGACATGGTAGATATTTTAGAAACCAGCCACGGAAACGCCTTTCCTCCTTATTGTGTAATGTTTCTGTGAATTTGGTAGTAGCTTTAAATTCCATGTAAACATAGCTGAATTCTCAGCACAGCAGTTGTCTTTAACTTCAGTGTATGGTGAGTTTTAGATGCTGTTGAGGTCACAATCAGGATAGTTTCAGTCACTATTTCATACTCGTCCCGCTGAATGACAACAGAAGCAGAGAAATATGTAAAAGAAAAAGGCTTCATTGGGAATTTGGACTATGTAGCATTGGATCTTTGGAAACTGCCATTGACTAAAACTGTAGCACTGGCTGCAGCTGACCAGTGCCTTGAGCCATGAGTGACTCCAAAATTGATGCGATCGAATAAGACGACTAATTGTCGCAGCCCTGTTTACCTTATACTGCGATGTAATAGATGCAACACTGCCAACAATTTTCTTTTGCATTTTTGCCGTTTTCCGAGGGCACCACAAACATAGCACTCTTATTTATATTAGCAATGTTGTTTTCAGTTGCATGACCTTTTTACTGCTCTAATACAAACAGAACAACCACAGCAGCACCAAAAACAAAACAGGATTCTTGTTTGTCTAGACAAAGCTGACCAAGTGGAAATTGCCTGATGACTCAGGAGATCAGCGGTGGCGATTTGATTGGACAAACAATGTGTTGCCTTATGTAGTTGCGACATTTGCAAGATACGGCCCACAGAGTACCTGTTTTTTAACAGCTTCATCCTTTCTGTGCCAACAATATTTACATACACAGAGCAGGGCTGAATAATTATGGCTAAAATGAAAATCAAGATTATTTTTGATCAATTTTGAGATGATGATTTTTCACAATTCTTCACTGATCTTGGAGACAAAATATTTGTCACTTTCAGGTGTAAACAAAGGTTTCACTTCCATTCCTGCCAGTATGTATGTGCTGCAGTTTTAAAAAATAAAAGACATGTAGAGAAATTCAAAATATATGTAATGAAGAAAACTACTGCAAAAACCTTGGGCATACACAGGATTGCTGCACTTGATTAGTTGTTGACTTTCCAGTAATTTCTAAAAAATTTTTGGACATTCGCTGCCCAACTATGACACAATATTTCCAGCCTTGTTGTTCTGAACCACGGTGTTTAAAGATAGGAAGGGCAAAGAAGTGCATTCTGTCTCAAGGGTCTGCAGAGCTTTCCACAAATCAGCGACCAGATATCAAACTATTTGGATATGTCCATTTCATCTGCAGCCAAGTCTGCTGGTGTGAGCTCTTTCTTCCCTCGAGCGCCGACTGCATCATCTTTGCTGTTTCTTAGCTGCTCACACTTTCAAAAGCTCTGTTTGAAGAGAACAACAAATGATTCTGTATCAAAGTGATTTAGTGATTCAGAGCCTGGCCCATGAACAAACCAACACAACTGCTCATTTTAAAGCTAATTTGTCTTCTGAAGTGACTACGTTTGTTATAAATTATGAATAGAAATGTTAAAGTTTTAATCTTTTCTTAATGTTGTCAGCATTGTAGCTACAATTTGGCTACAGACAAGATTTTAGGCAAGTACACCTCATCCAAGCCTTAACATGAGCCTTAACAACAAATGTTTATTTTTGTAGATCTATCGATTAGTTGGTGTGTGAAAAAAAAAATAAATAAAAAATTACTTGCAAATTACATATACTTAAAATAGACATTTATATACAGATGTAAAACTACCCACCAGTGAGTTAGAACTGAAGATGCCTATTGGAAGAGAGATTAACCTTAAAAAAAAAAAGTCCTATTGCTTTTTCGACTGAAAGACGAACTGCTTGTGGAGAAAGTAGTCGTACAAGAATGCCTTCTTCTTAGAGCGACAGAACCACTGCAGACTCTTCACCACTTTGACCACACGAGTATCTTGTTTGGAAAACAAATTTGACTGGTAGTAGTGTTTCCAGGGGGTCACATTTGCACTTATTTAGTTTTGTTCCCAGCATGTTGGTGCTTAAAGCCAAAAACAGAATGTGCCTGGCATTTATTTACATCACTGAGCCTGATCGCTAACGGACCTGCTGTAGGCCTCATTAGTTAAGAGACATTTCTCACTGGGCTTGTTACAACTTAAATTAATTGTAATGAACTCAAATAGCTTCTTCAAATGTCCACTTGTGCCTGTCTTTAAACTGAGTTTCTAAACGATCAGATACAAAGCTGGTAGAAACTTTGCTGAGGTGCTGTGCTGTGTGTTTGCCACGTTATCTTAATGACGCTCGTGAGTAAGGTGCCCACTAGACATTTCATCATAGGAAGTCTAATATTACGAGGCATAATTTTCTTCTGGTGTTTGCGAGAGATAATATGGACTGTTAAAATTCTTACACAACTAAGTCAATTTACAAAATTTTAGGCTTTGTTCAGGCCTCCGTCTCTATTGCAGTTATTATCACTTCTATCAAAGCACCTCACCAACAGATAAAAACCATGAAACCCAGCAGTGAAAACAGATAATGGCAGAAGTACAAAAGTCAGGAATGTTGGGTTGGGGGGAGCACTTGGAGCTCTGCCCATTCTCGCACCTGTGCACACCTGGGATCAGTACAAAGAGAAGACTTGACTGATGGATTGGTGGTCACTACAAGTTCCTAAAACTGGATGATGTGCCACTTTTCTCAACTTCAGAAAGAGCACATATTGCTCTTCAGATTGTTTATTCAGAAAAGCAGTCCAGTTTAATCTATAGGCCTGGTTTATTCTAACAGAGTGGGGAAGTGGAAGGAGACACATCCCTCCCAGATAATGTATAATTTTATCGATTTATGTCAACTGTGTGTATGAAAAATCAGGTCCTTTCCCATGTCCCATGCCCTGACTTAAAACTATTAAATTCATCCTGAACTAACCCACAATCCAGAAATACATTAACTGTTGTAGTTATCTCTCATCTCCGTTATCTCTTATCTCTCAGTCATCATGTAAACTGGCTTGTGCATTTGACCTCTTTTTTTTTAAATCACAGAAGCAGCAATTTTTGAGTATATTTATGAGTGTCATGTTAATCCAAGCTGTAAAGTGATGTCTATGGGACAGATGAGTAGGATTTTAATTTATGGAAGCAGAAGTGCCCAAAATAAAACTGTATTTCTTTTATATATATGGATATTAATATTTACAATGAGTTATTTGTTTATTAGGTGTTTGCTACATTTATACAGTATATTGTTGTAGCCATATGACTAAGATAGTTAGATAAGTAGATATATGATGGGCTGCAAGGTGACTTGGTGGTTAGCACCGTTGTCTCACAGCAAGAAGGTCGCCGGTTTGTGTCCTGGTGAAGACACCCAGGATCTTTCTGCGTGGAGTTTGCTTGTTTTTGCTCCCACAGTCCAAAAACGCGATGAGGTTAATTGGTGATTCTAAATTGTCCGTAGGTGTGAATGTGAGTGTGCTTGGTTGTCTATCTCTAAGTGTAGCCCTGTGATAGACTGGTGACCTGTCCAAGGTGTCCCCTGCCTTCACCCTAAGTCAGTTGGGATAGGCTCCAGCCCCCCTAACGACCCTAGTGAGGATTAAGCGCTGTATAGATAATGGATGGATGGATTGATGTATGATGTGGAAAAAAAAAACATCTTTGCTGTTTACATTAATTATGTATCAAACAAACACCATACACTCTTAATGTTAGTCAGTTAAGCTGAAAATACAAAAACTGATTCTTGTGTTCCAGTGCACAACCAACCCCCAAATGGCAGGAATCAAACCTGTTGTTTCTGCTGAGGTGAACCACCCTGCTCCACCTGTATACCCCCAAATGTGAGGTTGTTGGGTGGTTGACATGAAAGGTTTCAGTGCTGTTTGAACAGGTTTACACAAAAACAATCACTCTTAATTTCATGGAACTTTGTGGAGTGGTTAAGCATGGGTAACGGAAGAATTACATTTTGGTGCCGATCCAGATTACTCTCTTTAAAATTGTGACCTGGGGCATTGGCGGAGGATTGTGTCACTCTGTAGGTGTCCTTCTAGTTGTATCTTGTTTGTGGCTGCAGTGACATGATGCAGAATTTTTTGTAGTCCACAATAAATGAGATGAGCAACAATGTTTGTTTGTGGCCATAGTTTGCTGAATGTGTGTTGCCCATCATATACTCAATGATTTCTAAGCTAAATGTAGACCCAAGGTTCCTTTGAGATGAACACAGGAGTAGAGCAGCTCTGTGGATGGATGCTGGCTTGACACAGAGATGACTTCAAAGAACAAATGTTGACGAAGATAGACTAATATGTAACCTCACCGCTTGTTAAAAGCTGCACTTAAGCAAGCTTTAGGGTCGGTTTATGGTCTCTCTGAACCAATTTGTGAGATGTGCTGTCATACCAAGTCAGAAATCAAGAGTATTATAGTCTCTGACACAGTTGGCCAATCACGGTGTGAAGTTTAAAAAGTTGTGTGGGGTTCTAAAGGTATCCGATCATCCAACAAAACAGTTTGGATGGAGTATAAAACCCACCTTCTCCTTTTCGTTTGTTACCGAACTATTTCTTTAGCAAAATTAATGACAGATGTCACGATCAGATCTCAAAAGTCAGAATCAGGGCTGATCAAGGCATTTTTTTAACTGATGGGTACATCACAAACCTGAGTCTAATCCATTGTCTGCAGCTGCTGTAACAAGGGTGTCTTAAGGGACAAGGGCAATTTGTGACAGAATGCTGTGGATGCAAGCTTTGACTGTTTTCCTAATGAATGCAGCATTATCAATCAATAATTAATTAATAGTTGGCACAAATTGACACAGTGGACATTTGTCCTATGCTGATATTGTATAGTCATGAGACACATGACATGGGCGGTAAAGGCAGCTTTGCTAAATGTGCTGCTAGGACACTGATCCCAGCTTGTCTCATGCACAAGCTCTGGCCGGTAGCCATTAAGTGTCACAGAAGACTTTATCATGGTCTCCCTTTCATAGCTACACCCGATGCAATTAGTAAAGGAATCTGTATATGTGTTGTGCAAATGAATGTTATTGCATGTACATCTGACACAGGATTTAAATTGTTCAGTGGCTGTATAAACTCATGCTGTGTTCCTTGTTTAACAGTCATGCTTTTGATATTGTGTTGTGGTAATGCTCCATCATGTTTTAAATCTGTGGCACAGTAAATAGTGAAGTGAAGCTTGCCCTTTTTATATGAACTTAAACCTGCTTGAAGTTTCTGACAGAAAAATCAGAATTAGACATTTTCCTTAAAATCATTTAGCCCTCATGAAAACATAGTTCTGAATATTATATTATGTCCCCCTAAATCCTGCACACCTTTAAATGTGGTGGGGACCAAAATATTGGGCCAAATCAGGTTTATTGTCATTTTGCTCTACATACACAGTAGTACAGGCAAGATGAGAGAGCGTTTCGTCAGGATTATTCAATCAGCAAGTTTTGCTGAATGCACATCTGGTATAAGACCCTAAATGTTCACTGTTGCTGCCTCCTGAAGGCGGCGCTCCGTCCATGCACGCTACCATTCGTTGAACATGGCTTCAGGGACACAAAGACACACACGATGGTGTGACGATGGTGAAGCCGCAGATGCTGCCCAGAACTAGCTGTCTGTCTGTCCGCCCGGAATAATGTCGTCCCCTCCGGCTGGATGTCCGTCTGGGATGTCATGGAGCCATGTTTCTGATAAAGCAAACACTCAGCAGTCTCTCCACTCTCTGCGGGTTTCTCCCAGCAAACATGGCTCGTCCAGCTTGTTGTCGAGGGGGCGGACATTGGAGAGTAGGAGGACGGTCCTGCTGGTCTGGAGGGGTTAGTCTTTAGCATGGATCCCGGCTCTCTTCCTTCTCCTTTGTTTACATTTGTACCGTTTGCGCTTCCTTCTCTCTCGTGTAACTGCCGGCAAAGTCTCCGATCGGACTCCGTGTTGGTGTAGTTTGTCCAAATCACAACTGATTGCTGTAATTCCAGCGGCGTTCACTGTCCTGACACCCAGAAAGGTCTCCTGGCCGCAAGTTTTGCGGATTGAATGTCTGGGATAGACAATACACACATGGATGGTGTCTGTTTAAAAAGCGTTCTGCATCAAATGGAAATCTGTCCCATGTGTATTTTATTTATCTGTTTCTCTTCTTTCTCCCAGTCTGAACAGCCAAGTCCAGCCAGTTCCAGCTCCAGTTCAGGCTTCGCTCCTACACACCACAAACGGCAAGGTAATTTACCCAGAGCACTTGCACAAGTCGCAGCTGATCTCACGTTTTTAGTCAGAAATTACCTAAGTAATGATCCAGTTTAGCTCCCATGAAGCACCCAAACATAACAGAGCTTTATAGTGGAGCCTTTTTTACTCTGAGCTCAAAATAACTTCTCAAGTTCACTTACCAAATCTAATGGAACATAATGGCACACTTGAGTGGGAAAACATCTCTATTTAAAAAGCTAATTTTATTTTTTTTACGGGTCAGTCAGCACACTTTGACAAGGATGAAAGGTGTGCTTAAAAAATCTGAATTCTTTTCCTGAGAAAATGCTCTGAAAATATTTCACTGACTGTTTTGTTTGCTGAGATTTAATAATGACGGTTAGACCCACTGCCAGGAAGAAACTTCTATTTTTAGAATTGTATTTGAATATGTTTAAAGAATATGTGTAAAGATAAATACAATAAGATGCAGTTGGCATTTCTCTGAAAAGTTTCACAAGAATACATTTTTGAGAACAGGTCATAATATTGTGAAATAAATTAGTAGGTTAATGATAACAGCTCAAAATATTATGTGATAAAGTTGCACTTTAGTGTCAGAAAAGTTTCATTTTTGGAAAATTCAATAAATGATGGGAAAAGCTAGTCAGGTTTATGAGAAAATATATTATGATAAACCATAATCATGTTGTAAATTCATGAGAACAAGTTATGTTTTCAGATAACCTGCTATTTTTTAGATGACAAATGTGCTCTGCTTCATGAATAAGTTGTAGACATTTGTTGTAATACTTGTGTGGCTGCACTAGTGTTTTATTACTAGTAAAACCAACAACATAAAATAGAAGAAATAAAAGCTACTTTATTCTCAAAGTGTTCACATTGTAACCTCTAATCGTGGCTATCGAAGACCTACATGAACCACCAGACTGCCTGAAACAATTTTCCAGCTTAACGTAGTTTTGACAGGAAACACTGATGATATTATCCTAACATTCAGCTGTATGTCATCTGGATATTGTCGAGCAGCATCCGGTTTCACCCGCCACATGTTTAAACCCGTTTGACTGTTCATGTCAGTTCCCTTTTGGACTGACATTAACTGATACAAACATTATCCAAGTTCTGAAACAAAAGAAGGTTTAAAATGCTCTCCAAGCCAAGTTGGACTAAAAATAGTCCAGGAGGGCCGTGTGAGTCTAAAATGTACCATTTGGTCCCGAATACAGGATATTTTTTTCATTGATGAAGCTTCTTTTCTTGAGGGTGACCTGTGCTTGTGTGTTTGTAATTTTCTCTGGATGCAGTGGTGGACTTCATCATCAGGAAAAGGGTGGCTATACCGGCCACCACCCACACAGGTAACAGTTCCACTGTGAGCTGTGAGGACCCCACAGTCCAGTCACATCTGCATGGGCGATAATTTCCTGCTTGTTTATTTGCATGAACATTCATGCATCTCCTTACAGCCATGTCAGCAGGATTTGGTGTGATATCTTGGATATGATACCACACAACTCCTCAGAGCACCCATCACTGCTGATCCAGCATATTTTATGTCCTGTTGGTCCGTATGATGTCTCAATCTGGGAGCTCACTATTCATATTTCGGATTTCTGCTCTCATTGTTGTCCAAAAACTATTAGAAACACATCACTGAGCCACACTGTTACACTAAGTAACTTGTTCCTTCATTACCACGAACACACTGTAATTTACTTTGACTCACTCCTCCATACATCACCCTGCTGTCCCAAATACTCTCTTGAGCACTAAATGCAGATTAATCCGTCACTGTAAATAGTCCCCAACAAATTCCCTGTTCCCCTCTGTTTGAGTAATGCTTTTTAAAAACTACAGTGAACAGCTGTTGTAGGAGAAACAGTATATTAGTGGGTTGTTTTTTAAAGATTTACATCTTTAGGAGGAAACAATGGGCTTGAATCCAAGAGCCACAAATGGGCTAGTGAAGTCAGAAAGTAGTGAGAGATGAGTTTTGGTTTTGGGCTTTTCACTGGATTTATTGAAAGACCCTTTAAATATGATGCTTGTTGTGATTTTCTGTCATTTATACACTGTGAGGATGTCAGAAGTCTGTTGGTTAAAGTTCCAAATTTGAGGTGAACGCATGTCGAAATGCTGCTGTGAGTGAAAATGTCAAGCTTCATTCTGCTTTGAACGACTTGTTTGCAATGCTGCCATGACTTCTACAAAAGAGATGTGAAGGCCGACTACAGCTGTTTGGTTTGTCGTAGACTTTGGCTGATCAGAGTGGGTTAAATCACTTAAGAAGATGCCAGTAGAGCCCAAGAAAACAAATCTAGATCTGAGAATATACTCCTTAAAAAGTAAATCAACAACGGGTGCTGACCTCTATGTTACTGCAGCCACGATGTCCACTGGACCACCTCACCATCATTCACCCTCCCAGCATGATCTCCAGATTTTTTTTTGCATGTGTTTATTCTTGCTTTATTTGAAATTTTAAAGAAGAAGAAGAAACTCAATTGTCATGTTGCGCTCTGTGTTGTGTCCCACTCAGTGCTGGGCCCGCTGCAGTCGGTGATGCAGGACCTCCACTCTGACGACAACGACGACGATTCAGAGGACGACGATGACAACGACGTGGACTCTGATGTGGATCGGCCGGCACACACGCATCTCACACACCACCAGCGCAGGTTGGTCAGTTTGAGAGCCAGATTAGTGTCATGAAACTGAAATCATAGATGCAGGTAGCAAACGCTTATAAGATACAGAAATGAGATTTAACAAGAGTATTGCTGAGTTTCTATGTGCATTTTAAATAACCAAAACAAGCCTTTATGTGCAACCCTAAACGTTTGTAGTGAGTCACAAAAAGAAGTTACACATACAGTGATGCACTTTATCCATATTAGCCTACACTTGTTCAAAATTGTGACTTGATTTGCCCTCATTTCTTTAATGTCTGCACTAGTTTGTTTCAGTGGTGAGACTTGTAGAGGTATTTATTCGATGTCTTCTCTCTTGTGACTACCTGCTTAGGGTCAGTTTAAGCGACGGCAGTGAGAGTGACAGCTCCTCCCCCTCACCCCCGTCCCGCAACGAGGCCCCGCCCTTATTAAAGACTACTAATAACCAGGTAACCCGATATGTCGGTTTCATTTAATACGGCTAAAGAAAGGTGTTCACTTCATGTGTCCCCCAGACTGACTTTGATTCTGTTTGTTTTGCCCTCCGTCAGATACTGGAAGTGAAGAGTCCCACCAAGCAGAGCAAGCAGGACAAGAACAAAAACATGGATTGTGACAAGGTACACACAACTCTGTTATGTTTGGGTTTTTTTTGAGTAGTCCACAGTGCAATCTAATACCAAAAACTCAGATAATAATTGGGCTTTGAATTTGCTTCTGTTGAACTGTGACTTCCTGGTTGGAGCACGTAAGAGAGACCACATTACATCAATTTTAGCTTCACTTCACTGGCTGCCTGTACATTTCAGAGTTCACTTTTATTTGTTTTTAAATACTTAAATGGTCTCGCCCCACAGTACCTCTCTGAGCTGATTTCTCTTTTTTCGCCAGCCGGTGCCTCAGATCAGCTGATCAGCTGCTTCTGGAGGTTCCAAGGTCTAGGCCAGGGGTGTCGAACTGCGGTCCTCGAGGGCCGCAATCCTGCATGTTTTAGATGTTTCCCTCTTCCAACACACCTGATTCAAATGATCAGCTCATCATCAAGCTCTGCAGAAGCCTGATAACGATCCTGATCATTTGAATCAGGTGTGTTGGAAGAGTGGAAACATCTAAAACATGCAGGATTGCGGCCCTCGAGGACCGGATGTCGACACCCCTGGTCTAGGCGGAAGCTCAGAGGGGACAGAGCCTTTGCCGTCACAGCTCTGGAATTCTTTGCTGCTGCTCATTAGAGAAGCACCATCACTGTCCATTTTTAAAACCTGTAATTTTTATGCCCTGGCCTTCAACCTGGCATGAGACTCCCGTTTTATTGTTTTTTATTGTTTTTACTGTTCTTATTGTCCTTTTTAATGATTTTATTATAATTTTATTGCATTTTCTGAGTTTTATTGTTTTATATTTTTAAGATGTGATTTCTTGTAACACCAGGAGCCAGTTTGGTGAAATGTACTAGCTTAATGTCTGTATAAAACATGTTCACTATGCTGTGCCCTATATGACAATCAAATCAAAGCTAAAGTCATGTTGCTGTGTGTTTTCCAGGCTTACCTGGATGAGCTGGTGGAGCTGCACAAAAGACTAATGACACTAAGGGAAGGTCACATACTGCAACAGGTGAGCTTCTACACCAGTATCACCAGTGTGCTACTGTAGTTTTTTGCCTTTGTGTTGCATTCCTTTCAACCAACTCACACTATGCATTTTACATATTTAACACCTCTCTGGCATACAAAGGTGGGCGTAAGGGATATTTAAATATTTGTAGGCTGCCAAATGATTAGCAAACAATGATGTGTTTATGGTACTTGTGTGGCTGCATTACTTTGTAGTTTGTTGAAGCAACTAGTGGTTAAAGCCGGTTTCTGTGCTGCTCATTTGCTGGACTTAAACAAAAAAGTTGTCAAATGGTCTAGAAGGAATGCTTGATACTTAATACTAAAGAACAAACCTCATTTGAAGAGAAACTGAGAATTCTTCTTCCATCTCTCTGCATTGCAGAGTTGGACTGAGTTAGTCTATCTAGACTAAACTAGATTGAACATGCTCTGTAGGTCGGACTGGGTCATCAGTGTACAATACATCTAACTTAGTATCACCAAGCAAATGGTTAAATTAGCTTCGTTAACCAGTGGAGCAAAATCCCTCACGTATTTTGCGAAATGATTGGAAAAAGGATGTCGCCTTACTTTGCCAAGGAAACGAGCAACTGGGCTGCTATACGAGTTAAGTGACGAAGCTTTACACAGCATCCTGGTGTTTATGTGAGCAGTGTCGGCTTCATCAAGGTTACATTGTAATTAGGGGAACAAAACGTTGGTGTGCTGCCTAATTATGTCACATCAGAAGCTCCACATACAACATTGTGTACTGAAGCTCATTATGTTCAGTTGGACTTCGAAAAGATGCATCTATGAGAGTTGCACGTGGAATTCACAAAACTTTCATTTAAACCATTCAGCATATAAAATGACCCCAACTAAAGTCTTGCTTAGCCAGTCCGTTCTGTAGGACAGGATGCTCTGGCTGCTCTTCATTATCAGTCTGCTATGGGGTAAAATGCTGTTTGTTCCCCCAATAGCCTGGCCTCATATTTCTTTAAACCAGTCCTTCTCAAATAATGGGGCGGAATGCCAGGGGGGGCACGTCTGACCCCGGGACAGTGTTAATTTTGTCAACGAAAACTTTTGACGACCCATTTTTCCGTGACTAATTTCATTCAACCAAATCAGTAGCTGGTGCGACCAATGAAGGAAGTTGGTAGCACCAGTTCTACCACTGGAAAAGTTAGTCTGGAGTCCTGTAACAGAATCGCCAGGTGCAAGAAACCACATCAATAGCTGAGGATCTCCTGCTCCCCACTGCTCTTGATATGGTGTCAACAAAGACAACCACTGCAAAGTTGAAGGCTATCCTCCGCGTTGCTTTTACTGATCGCTGAGCAAGTTATTGCTGCACTATTTTACTGCTCATGATATTTAATTTCAGTAAATTTAAACTCATTTCATGACTATTTAAGGCGAGGGGGGCGCGAAAGATGGAAAACATTTGAGAACCACTGCTTTAAACCAATCGTAGTTGCCATTAGCTGAGCCAAGTGAGGGATGAGGCTTAAATGTTTGATGATGCCCTCAAAAATAATCAGAGGTGAAACTGTTTGGTGAAACATTTGAAGAAATCCACGATTGCAAAAGTCAACATTTTCAGTGTGGATGATTACCTGCCTGGAGGTTGTTGTAGTTTCTCGAAGCGATGGGGAATTTGAAATATACCCGCAGCCTACATCCGATGAGTCAGTCTACCCTGATTTTGATGCAATCTCATTTTCCCAAAACTTTTTTTACACCTCCGTGTTGGTGACAGCTGAGACCAGACGCATTTTTTTTTTTTTTAACTTATCCGCCCCGTACTTGTGAATGTGATATCTCTCGACAGGATTTCTTCAAATCTGGCACAAACATTCATTTACACTTGAGGATGGACTGATTAGATTTTGGGTGTTTAAAGGTCACTGCAACCTCACTAAACAGCCGTAACGAGAGCACATAACAATAATTCACTTGCTGATTGTGACAAAAAAATTCACACAAATGTCCTGATGGTCCAGAATGTTGATTGGTGCTAAAAGTGTGAGAACATCGCCCCAGCTCGAGCACTCTCTATTGGCTCCCCGCTCTTTTTAGAATTCAGTTTAAGACCTTGCTGATTGCTTTCAAGACTTTAGTGGCCAGACACCATCTTATATCACAGACTTTATTCGCTGGCACTCAGCTCCTATAGGTCTCTTACATCTGACAGCAAATCTTTTGCATGTCCCAGGGACACAACTAAAAGGCGACAAAGTTGCTGCTTCACAATTCGGGGACACAGTTGCCTTTAGAAATTACATCTATTTGCTCCAGGCTGAAGTTGCATGTTTACTCACTGGACTTTTTGGCCCACTTTTCCTGAAATCTGTTGTCTGTAGTTGTATTTTTGTCCTCTGTTGTCTTTGCATGTTTGTGTGTTTGATTGTCGTCTTTATATTTTTATGTCTTTTTTACAGCACTTTGATCTGCCGGGTAAATGCGCTGTAGAAAAAAGCTTGACTTACGATCTTGCGTCTTAGTTTTATCTGACGTGTTTGATCAAAAAAGACGTTATTTCCAGATGCAGTTTTAAAGTTTAACAGTGATTTTAGATTTACTTCAGTGAATATAAAGTACAGACTGTGCACACTGATAGGATCACGTTATGTTGCTGGTAAAAATGTTAATGCCGTGGAGATTTGGGCTTTGATATTATCGTTTACATTCCTGCTTTATTATTTTCGATGCAAAATTAACACTGAACCGCCAAGTTCTAGATAAAAGACAGATAGCTTGGATGGGTTCCCACAGTTTTCACTGATCTCAGCATATTATCAGTGCGTGCCAGTGGTATTGGTCAGCGATATTGTAACCTTGGATTAGAAGAGGAGCTGTGATCTGTTACAGATCCTCCGTAATCTGCGGCTTCATCTGGAAGCAATGAATTATTTGGTTAACCTCTCTCCACCTAAGAGATTGCATGTTTCTTGCTTATATTCCCGAGGCCTATCATATAGCAGCATTAATGGATCTTCCCAGCAGCGGCTGCCAAGTTCTGCCTCGCTCTCCTAACAAGACGTCTGGCTCAGAGGAAAGACGAAATCCCATCCAAAACAGCATCGCCCGTGCAGAGCTTGAACTTGCACAGTAATCAACCTAATCTAGCCGAGTTCACCAAGTGGCTCCACTTCCTGTTACAAGAGATGGAAATGATTAAGTCGCAGCCTTTCCTGCACGCTGGTGGGGACCACATATGCAGATAGTCTGTCTTCAGACACTGGAGCATGACATGAGTTTGGTAGCTGTTTCCAGCTGAAACGAATGCTAAATAGCAACAAAAATGAGCAAACGGGCCAAATCAGCACCCAGACAACTGCAACAGAGCACCAAAGTGGAAAGAGAGAGCATCTGACTTGGATCGGCCCAATAATTAAAGTGGGCTGCAGTGCTCTCCACAGAGGCTTTGTAATGTGAGCGGGACCAGGTTGGGTCTTGGTTTTTTCTCAATCTATGTCCGGCTCATTTTGAAAACCACATTTAAACATTAAATCATTTTTTCCAAGTTAATATCGTGCAACTGTAACACCTGAGCAACAGGAAAACGGCTAAATCTCAGCTTTTGAAATATCGTTGTTGAAGACATTAAAAGAAATTAAAGTGGACCCAAGAGGCTGAAGAAATGTTGAATGGCAGTTTAATAAATGTAAATGTAGGTGTTGAAAAGAGGTGAAATGCTAATTTGAGTGAATGGAATTAAGGGGTAGTGCTCATAGAGGTAGTTCAAAGTGCATAGAAAGAAAGTAAGACGTATTTCAGGAGCAGACTGTGTAAAACATTTCAGCGTAGTTTAGCTGGCTCCAACTTCTTCATCCATTTTCTGATGCTTTTATCTTCATGTGCTTCATATCCGTTTTGATGAACTGGCATCTGTTTTGTCTTTGTCTCTCTATTTTCTTTTCCCTGTTATCACTTTTCGGAACTGTAGGGTCTGCTTTGTAATGTTGGGTGTGGTTCAGGATGTTGTTGTTCTGTGATGCCTGGAGATGCACCGATGGACAGCTTTTGTTAGACTGGGCTGCTCCTCATTCAGCACAACATGTACGCATTATTTCAAGTGCCCAAAGGTGTCACCAAACCTGGGGGAAAAAATCTATAGATATATTTCGAGCTATTTCCATTTTTACAATCCCTACAAATTCTGCATATCAACCCTAGAAAGATATTTCGCCACGCTTCATATATCTTCCAACAATTTGACACTTGCTCCTCTCTTTACTGTTATTAAACTATATTGCATGTGTTTTGTTTATTAAGTATTTTTTTTCTCAATCTGTCTGATCTTAGCAAGCAATGCCTGCAGTTCAAACAAAAAGAACCTGAATTAATGTTATGTATGGTCGGAGCTGAATCACTTGTAATTTCTCAGTTGCACCATGGAGTGTAGAATTTTAGTCTTTTAATAACTCTAACAAGTAATAATAAAGAATATAATAGTGATTAAAGCAGCTTTGAAAGGCGGCTGTGGCTCAGGTGGTAGAGCGGTTGTCCTCTGATCGTAAGGTTGGCGGTTCGATCCCCGGCCCCTCCGCAGTTGAAGTGTCCTCGGGCAAGACACTGAACACCAATGGCAGGCAGCACCTTGCATGGCAGCTCTGTCGCCACTGGTGTGTGAATGGGTGAATGAGAAACGCATTGTAAAGAACTTTGAGTTCTGCTAAGGTAGAAAAGTGCTACAAAAGTGCAGAACATCTACCTTTTTGGGGTTTTTTTTCCCAATAAAACTCTACGTCTTAAATGATTAGTTCAAGGATTGTCTAAAAAATGTTTTGGGGATTTTTTTGTTTGCTTTTAACAGTTTCTGGCTGATAAATGGTGTCATCTTCCTTTTTTTTTAAATTTCTTATTTTATTTGAAGAGAATAAGCCTTCTAAACTGGCAAGTTGTGGGGACCAGCGATTCAAAAATGTAAAACTATTACTAATATAAATATAGTGCAAAACTGTGCTGACAAAATGTATTTTGCAATTCACCTTTATTGATCGCCTACATTTAGCGAAAAAAAAGAAAAATACAAAAATCCCGACAAATATCTGAAACAAACCCATGATTTTAAAACCTACACGACTGTCTATCCAACAAACAAATAATTGAATATTCAAAAATTTGGGTCCAACTTTAGAAATTCTGATATCCAGTTCAGAAGTTTGTATATCCAAACATGAGCTGAAATTGCCGCCTGTCCTCACCCGTTGTACCTTGTGTTTTCCAGATTGTAAACCTCATTGAAGAGACTGGACACTTCCACATCACAAACACTACTTTTGACTTTGACCTTTGCTCGTTGGACAGAAGTACAGTAAGGAAGCTGCAGAGTTACCTGGAAACCTCCGGACTGTCCTGAGGCCCTGAGCAGCTGGCTGCTGGATCTCTGCCTCCACTTTGACTTTTCTCGAATAAATTCCAACTTTGGATGCAATGCAAAAGCCTCGCTGCGGCCGGGTCCAGTCGCTGTGCGTCCAGCCTGCCGGTTGGACCGTGTTCTCTGAACGGAGAGGTCGTCCCGCTGCAGAAACCAGAGCCAGGTGTCGTGGGGATGAGCCCTGTCGATCAGGAGATCACCCGGAAAGCCTTGAAAACTTCACTTGATTAAAAACATAGTGAGGAGGGCGACCTTGTTGCTCTTAATGAATGTGCATATTGTTACCATGTATGTTTCTTGATTTGTTGTTCATTGTGACAAATGCATGGTCAACATTGCCTTACAACATTGTAAGTCTTATTTATTGAATTTAATTTGCAGGTGTGTGTGTGTTTGTATTTGAAATGGCAAAAAAAAAATTCAAAAAAGGGACAAAAAAAGAAAGAAAAACTGCAGAATGAGACTTTGTTGAAGCACTTCACAACAAGCAGATCTTTGAATCTGCGTGACAGACGAGCATTTCTACAACTCCCTGTTATACTGATTTAAACCGAACTGAATCATCTCACTGGGAACAAAAAAAAAACTGCCACAGCAGGTGTTGGGTTGACAGCGATGCATTTCTATTCCAGTCTGTTTTGTTCAAGCCAACGCTGTTCATAAATGTGGAGCTTCACATTATGCAAAAAAAAAAAAAAAAAAAAAACCTGCTTTCAACAGCCAAGCAGATACATTCCTAAATTACATGAGGTCAGTCTTTTTTTGTGGGAATCCAGCTGGAGGCCAATCAATGAAGGGAACTGGGTTAGATGATTATGAGAAGTGCTGTATTTTCAAAATAAAAATTGGGTTTAGACGCCCATCTTTTGAAAATGAAAACTGTGTTTGTTTTAGGTTCTTAATTAATTTCTGTGCACTGAAAATGTCCCAATCAAATACCACAAAGATGAAAGCAGCATTCGTAGGCTTCCTAGATGAAAGAATAACAATCTGTTGTTTAAAGGTTGTTGGAAGACCTCCTATATGACTGAGAAACATCTGCACACTTGGAGCAAAAATAAATATTGACTTGATGGGAAAACATTGAAAAGGAGGTAACCATTATTTTCATTGTTGATTAATGGAATACATTTTTTTAGGTCCATTAAATGTCAGAAAATAGTACAAATGTCAATCAGCGTTTTCCAAAGCCCAACATGGCCTCCTTGTATATCTTGTTTTGTCCACAACCCAAAGATCTTCACTCATCTCACTGAAACCATTCAGAAGAGAATTTACACTGGTTTAGTTTTAAAAAAAAATAAAAATCAAGCCATATAATCGATTATGAAGATTGTTGGTACCTAATTTTACAGCTGGCAAATAATCGGATGTTCCATTAATGTAAACGTTGCCTATTACAAAGATGACCTTGCCCTGGAAATAGCAGCACATAATTTCATATACGTGGTAGTTTTAAATATAACCCGCCATTTTTTTTTTTTCACACTCCTACACAGCCAGCCAGTCTCTTCCGAAAGTCGCTGATATTGTCGGTCAGAAACTTGATTTCTGCATGCAGCTTCCCCATCTCTCGCTAGACTGCGTTTCAGTTTGAGCTGAAACATTTTTTGTTTGACGTATTGAAGCCCATATATGTAAAATTGCAATAACTACATACTACGGTGCCCTCCAGGAGTAGTATTTTTTTTATTTTTGAACACTCTGGCTTGCGGCAAAGCACATTAACGCCCCGCCTCTCCACCTCATGCTAACACTCTCCACTGCAATCAGCCTCTTTTTTTTTTACAAAATGAATCAATTTTCAAGGGAGTAACACAACAAAAAAAAACTACAAGTCCCGTCGCCTATGTTGCGACTGCTGTTAAAAGATTAATTTTTCTATCATGTTTTTATACAGAAGCATTTGGCCGTTTTTTTTGTTGTTTTTAATTTCAACACAGTATACAGTAAGGCATTAGTGGCTGCTCCGCTGAGCACAAATCACAGAAGGTGAAAAGTTCTCATGATAACAATCAAAAAACTACATTTTTACCAAATCCAGGCATAATGTGCTGCAGCAGGTCCTCACCACCTTCTCATCGGCTACAACTTAAAGGAAGCTTTGTTGTCATTTTCCAATGCAGGGCCTTTGGAACATGCCAAAAGCATAGTCATTAGGTTCAGCTGGTTTAGCATACTACTATTGTTTGTCTGCAGAATATGATTTAAAGGAAATAATTATCCCTTTGCCATCGGGGGGGAAAGTGGATTTGTAAAACAGACCCAAACGATGTAGGAGGGAAAAGAGAGAATAAAATCTCCCTTAATGATGTCAGAGAACAGCAGACTGTGTGAGGAAATGTTTTAGGTAAATCTAATGCAGGCTGTCTAATGGTTTTACTGTTACGGGTGTACGAAAATCAAAAATCTTTTATTTATTTTGTGGGAGTAGTTCAATCGAAGCTCAGCATTCATTTTCCAAGGAGAATGCCTTCTTTAGATATGTCACAGAGGACACTTTCACCAGTCTGACAAACAAGTTGAGGATGGTGGTTCCTTTCCAAATGACCTTAAAGGGTTTTTCTTACCCTGCGCTCTGTCTTATGGTTTCTTGTGTATTTTGAGGACATTCAATAAATATTCTGTATGATGTACAGATGAGCTACTTGTGGATGAGCTGTTGTTTCTTTTTTTTTTTATTGGTACGGCTATTAGTGGTGCATGATATTCAGTGTCTTTATTCCAAAAGGCTGCTCAAGTCTTGGTACCTAATGTAGATGTGTTGAAGAACCTGAGCTCTTGAGTTAAAATAAATTTAAGACTACAGTACCGCATAGTGGTAGCGAGAAAATTGGCTGAAAGAAGTGCTTACACAACTAAAATCCACTTTTTACAAACAGCAACAGCAAAAAAAAACCCCATATATATATTGTGTTATAATTGTAGTTTACTTATTTTTCCTTGACATGCAGATATGAGACATGATAACTTTGCGAAATGTGAAGCCAAAGTATTTAGATCGCACTCTGGTGGAGGGTTGTAGTATAGGTCATAAGCCCCGCCCCCTTGTCAAATTTAAAAGATTGAGGCGCACAAGTATGGCTTCTGTCATGTTTAGTATTTGTTATGTTGGTGTTTGGTGAAGTCCTTTGTTTTCTTCACAGCTTGTTTTTGATTCGTAATTCGAAATGGGGGAGACAGTTTTTTACAGTGGTGGCCAGGCTAAGATAATTAATTTAATTATTTTTTTTTTCTTTATGGCTAATTACTGTGGGCTAAATAGTCATCTTTGGTGGTTACTCACTCCTATCATTTGCTTATGTTGACAAGACTTCCATGTAGAATTGCATTTGAAATCTCAACTGATTAAAAAAAAAAATTGGCACAGTTGCAAAAGTTCTGCTTTCAAACTGTTGACAGGGGTTACAAATTAAGTACACTTTATATTACATGAGATACATTTACATAGGACACTTGTTCAAAATCGTAGCCCCTCTAATGAGCTTCACTTTTGGTTGTTTGAGGTGGCCAAGCTTTCGTCTCTGGCTAGTCTTGGCTCCGCCCCTTGTCATATGAAGCAATAAAAAGTGTGGATACCGTTTGATTGGATATCTGCTCTGGATAAAGTAGTTGCAGAGGTTTTATTTTCCTCATCCTTGTGACTTTGTATTTACCTCTTGTGTTAAACCACTGAATTAGTTGTTTTGCTGACTGATGTTCTGAGGGATCTAAGGATAACTTAAATTGGTGTTTTTAGGACTAAAATAATTTATAAATTATTGCTAAGGTTACAGTTAGCAAGCTAAGAACACAATCAATATATGGGGAAGAAGTAGTTGATGCGTAGGAATAGACAGGGTATGAAAGATGGATGTAGCCTCTAGGTCTGAAAATAAGTGGAAGTGCTTTAAATCTGCATTCTTTGTAAAAACCGGCAGGGGGCGACTCATCTGGTTAGAAGTCTACGAGAAAATGGCACTACTTCTCACTTGACCTGTTACCTTGGTAAACATTTTCCTAATGAGTTTATGGTCTCCGTCTTTAGTTTCAAGACTTTTTGAATATAGAATGATGTTTATTTAGTAGATTATTGTCCTGTTTAGAGTATATTAGATGATAAAGCAGTGGATGCTTTTGGGAGAGGATACCTTGAGATTGACAGGTCACTACTGGATCAGTGTGAATAGTCTTACTGTGCTTTTAGTCAGATCCACTCCTTATTCATTACATCAAAAAAACAAGATGGCAACGGTCAAATTCCAAACTTGAGCCATGGCACAGTGACTATGTCTGTTTGGTATTTACATTTTGGTTTCCCTTGGGTGCAGTGGAAGGAAGTGCCAGCATACGCTGACTTGAGTGACACCAATTGAGGACGTTTCTGAAACTTCACACAGCTCTCTCTTGGACACAAAAGACTTTATACTAATCTTGGAGCATATACAGAAGTGCTCCCTAAACCTGGGGGACACACTCTGAGGTGTGCAATCAGTGGAGTTCCCTTTAAAGTGCTCTTAGCTATAACCCCACTCCTTTCAAAAGCTGGTGAGGCCTGAAATGGGTCACAGCTATTGTTACCGAGATTTTTAAAAAAATCCTTGTTCCATCCTTCTGTTCTTCTCCAGTCCACTTCAGTTCCAACGGTGTCTCTAAAAATGTACAGGCTTTAAAAACAATACATTTACTGACACATTAGACAAACACTGAGGCCCACAGCTGTCGAAATGAAATGAAACTAGAGTGCAGAAAAAGACTCCACAGTGACTTTGGTGTGTTATAGTGAAGCAGCTGTGTGTATGAAGGGTACTGATGGTGAGGCCTAATCAAAAACACACAGTGCTGCTGCACTTTCTCCGCAGTAGACGGAGGGGAGCTCCGCTTTCAAACAACCAATATGAAATATTTGCATTGTAAGTTATGACTTGAAACCTTAAAAATACTAGAATAATATATGCCATATTTAAACCCGCTCTAATTGAATTACAGTGTGAAGGGTGAAAAAGTCAGTACCTTCATAAATTATCTGATTCTTGGATTTAAAAAAGGCTCCTCTCCCTCATCTTGTGGATGACAAAAACTGTGTCGCTCATGTTCTTTTTATGTCAGTCTGAGTGGGTGGTCTGACAGAAGAAAAGTTGGAAGTCATCCAGTTTCCCCATTTATAGTGGTGTGTTTTTTTTTTTCGTTTTTTTTTTTTAAAGCAGAGAAAGAATCTCACATGCTTTCATCAGCCTCCATGTCATGCATCTTACACCGCACTGGAACAACCTGTTCCTGCTCGCTGACTGGAGGATAAATGTTAAAAATGTCTATGTGGAGGAGTTGGTAGGTGTTCGTCTGTGTTGTCCTATATTTAGGTGGGATGCAAATCCGTGCTGTTGCAGTCCATTTCAATGCTGTGCAGGATTCTAACGCACACGGTTATGGGTTTGTATGTCAGAAACACCTGGCAGCGCCACCATCAGACAAAAACGTCAACTTGTAAGTAATGAACATCAAAATCTAAAGCGAAGTTTGCCATTAAGCATCTTAGAGTACAATCATGTCCTCTCTTTTCATCTGGGTGGCCCCTGATTGGCATCATAAGACTGTTCTCATATTAAAAAATAAACTGTGCGAGTGGAGACCTCCAGCTGAGACTTTGTGGTCGAAAGAGTCCACTAGAGGTAACAGAAACAGGAACAAAAGAGGAAATAAAGTGACATCATTGTGATACTAAAGGCCATTTCATGCTTTCTGCATCTGCTTATCCACAAGGGTACACATGATGTAAATTTTGTCATCCACTCAAATCTGTAAACCTCTGCAGCCCAACATTTGTATCAATGTGGCAACTACACTAGAACAATAGTGTGTATGCTTAGTAGTAGTGTGTACAAAACCCACGCAGATAAGACATACTGAGCATGTAGGCAACGGCGTCTTCCAAGTTTACTCCAGTACTGATGCAGACATGAATAACTGCAGTCACTTATGGACACGTACCTGTAGGTCCATCCATCCATCCATTATCTATACACTGCTTAATCCTCACTTGAGTCGCAGGGGGCTGGAGTCTATCCCAGCTGACTTAGGGCGAAGGCAGGGGACACCCTGGACAGGTCACCA